TTACAGGGTTCCTAAGAATCCGGGCTCAGAGCAGAAGGGCACGGCTGACTTTTGGCAAGGCTGCCATCTAGTGGCTGGATTCCTTTGTAGCTTTGTGGGCGCGCACAACATTTCCTGGGACCCTGGAGATGAGCCGCAGTTGGGGTAAGCAGGGAGGGCAGCTGTCTACACACAAGGGACCACTCCGTTCTCTAAATCTACTCCCCTAGGGTAAGATGAGATATACACAAAGGGCACCTTAGGGAGAAAAGGAAGAAGAACATATCTGGGCTGTAACGCAGATGGGTAGATAATATTGATCTAGAAAATCAGTAGGAGTGGATGTTGGGTGTGGAAGCTTCGGGTGGGCGTAGGAGTTACAAAGTCAAACTCGTCTGGCCCTTCTTTCATTCTTTTTCTTTATGGCTCAACATGGAGCGAACTGATGGAAGTCCAGTAAAGTCCAGCATCCGATGGGGGGTGCCATTTCTAATACACTAAATCATTCCCATCTTTGTCTCCGTGGTAGTGAGATTTAAAAACCTGCACCTATTACTAGTACCAGCACGTTTGTTTCCCTGTTTCTTGTGTGTGTAAAAAAACCAAAATGTGACCGGTATTCAAATGACCACCTCATACTCCTGGACCACTGTAGGGGTGGGAGCACCTACAGCCCAGAAGCACTGGCTGAGGGGCATCATCACCATGAGACCCCACAGTTTGGCTCATGGGCAGATGCACGGGTCTGGATTCACCATGAATGATGCAGTCTGGGGACACATGACAAATGCACAAGAGCACCAGCTGTCCAAAAGCTGATTTAAAAAATTGTTGAGGACTGCCTACACTTAAAAATAAATTTCCAGAGACAAAATGTAATTTTCAAATTCAACTCTATTAATTCAAAGGACATAATTTCATTGGAATAAAGAAGGGGGTAAACTGAATTTGAATGGAAACTATAGGAATAACAATTTTACCTTGCATGCCAATAGCCCATTACAGTTTACGAGGACAGACAACATACTCAAGATCTTTGTCTTGACGGACACCACCACCCACCACGTAGCAGATATGCAGGTATTTCTTTAATTTGACAAATAAGCATGCTAATGCCCTAGGGGGTGTGGGAGTGAGCCCACTTTAGGAGCCAGGATTAAACCCAAGTCTTTCTCTGGAATCCTGAACAAAGGGAGGACATGCTGTGATCAAATAATTAAACAGCTCATCAACAAAATGGTTAATAAACACCACAAAAGGCAAGTAGAAGAGGAAGATTTGGTTAAGGTAAAAAAAAAAAGTTTAAGTTATGACCTGTATTTTGCTCTGTTTTTAATTTTTAAAGCATTGTATGTATGTGTTTAAAAAATTTCAAACAGTATAGAAAGATCTAATATGAAGTCTTTCCCCCCACCACTTTCAATTCTGGTAACTCCTCAAAGATAACCATTTTTAATCCCTCCAGAAAAAAAAGTTATGATTTCAAATATTAATGTATACTTTAAAAAAAAATCAAAGCAAATGAGATCATGCCATAAGCACCACGTTCTTTTCCCCACTTTATAACGTACTTTGATCTTTCCCTATTGGTACATACAAATCTACTGTGTCCATTTGCATGGCTGCGTACTATTCCACTGGACCAAACTCGCATTATGCAACCAGCTCTGTACTGATACACGCTTAGGTGTTGCCAGTATTTTACAATTATAATAATGCTGCAGCATGTCCACATGTATTGCCATCCTCTTTCAAGTAAATCAGTAATATTAAATGCCAAGGAGATCCTTGGTGGAAGATTATACATATTTCATATGTAGACAGATATTATCAAACTATCCTTGTACATTAACTATAGGTGGGGTCCTGGCTCCCTGTGCCCTTATTAACACCAGAAATGCCTTTAATGTTTGCTCACTGATGAGAGGATATAGTATTTCCAATTCTTGCCATTTTTTATTGTATTATTTTTCTTTTTCTTATTGATTTATATAAACTCTGTGTAAATACGCCTTTTGTTACCTGTATTGCAAAAACTTCCGCTTTTTACAAAGCAAGTTTTTATATTTACATGATTTTTTTTTCATCTTTTCTTATACGGCTATTGGGTTTGTTCCTACTTGGAAAGGGCCCTCCAAGGCCAAGACTACAAACTGACTCTGAGGTTTTCTCTTTGCACGTTCATGGTTTCGCTTTTTAAGATCGAACTCTCTCATCCACTTGGAATTTATTTTGATGACAGGAATGAGATCAGGATCCCCCTTTATTTTTTCCTAAAGACCCAATCAGTCATTATTTTCCAATGAATTATCTAGCTTGATATAAAATGCCACTTTTATCCCATTCTATCCTATATATATACTACCCTAGGTGTAACCTAGACTTTCTCCACTGTTCCACTGAATTGCATATCTATTCTCCAGTTCCAAGATGCTTAAACTTAGTCCCTTGATTACTGTGTTTTAGAGATTTTTCTGGTTATTCTGGACTATTTAGTCTTCTAGATCAGGGCTTATCAACAGAGGCACTATTAACATTTTGGGCTGGATAATTCTTTATTGTGGGGGCTGTTCTATGTGTTGTAGGATGTTTAGCAGCATCCCTGACCTCTGCCCACAAGATGTCAGCAGCAGCCCCCTAATAATGACAAAAATATCTGTAGACATTGCTGGTTGTTCCTTGGTTTAGGGTGGAGGGCAAAAGGTCCCCGTTGAGAACCACTGTTTTGGATAAACCCAGTTATCATTTTACCAGTGTTTGCGCTCCCAGTCAATTCCCACTGATATCTTAATTGGGATGAAAATGAATTCATAGAATAATTTAGACAATATTATTATAGTTAAGATATTATACTTATTAAATTCAATCTTTATTATATTTGACCTTCCTATTCAAGAACGATGTGTATCCTTCTTCTTATTTACGTCTTTTATGTCCTTCAAAAGAGTTTTAAGATTTAAAAAAAAAAATGTAGGCTAGGGGCGCCTGGGTGGCTCAGTCATAAAGCGTCTGCCTTGGGCTCAGGTCGGCTCAGGTCGGGTCAGGTTGTGATCCCAGGGTCCTGGGATCGAGCCCCACATCAGGTTCCCTGCTCAGCGGGAAGCCTGCTTCTCCCTCTCCCACTCCCCCTGCTTGTGTTCCCTCTCTTGCTGTGTCTTTCTCTGTCAAATAAATAAATAAAATCTTTAAAAAAAAATAAAAAAATGTAGGCTCTTGTAATATTAAGTTTATTCCTAGGTATTTTACCTTTTACATTCCTTTATAAAGAGGATCATTTCTTGTGTTATTTATCTCTTCTAACCAGTCACTGATAAGAAAGCTATTTATATTTGAAATTCTATAACCAACAACATGCTAAATTCCTATTGTATCTAATAGATTTGCAGGACATTCTAAGTTTTTTCTAATGATACAATTTTCAGGAAATTCTAAGCATTTTTCTCAAGTACAATGTTATCCTCTGTAGAAAATCATCATTTTGTTTCCTCATTTCTGATATTTCTGTAGCTGGAGATCTCCTGTCTCACTGCCTTGGCTAATACTTGCAGAAAAATTTAGATGGTAGTGGTAATGAGGCAATGTTGAATCATTCTTGACTTTAATGGGAATACTTCCAGGATTTCACCCTTGAGGACAGTTCCAGCTTTGGCTTGAGATACATATATTTTAATCCCACTAGAGAAGTATCCATACATTTATAGTATACCAAAAGTTTGTTTTTATATCTGAAAGATTGCTAATTTTGCCAAACACGTCTTCCATCTCTATGGAGATGACCAATGGTTCTCCTTTGGTCTATTAATGTTGTAAATAGATTATATTCCTGAATTTCTAAATACTAACACATTCTTGGAGAGCATAAATCCAGTTGGTTGTGATCTACACTATTATTCTTTTAATTTCTTGTTGAATTCCACTTGCTAATATTTCAATCCCACATTTTTACCTCAATATTTGAGAGTGAGAGGATTCTGTTATTTTTTTTTAGCAGTGTGTTGTTAACTTTTGGAATTAATGTTTAGGCTGGCATGATAAAAAGAAGTTGTACTTTTACTTGTTGTATTTTTAAAACCAAATGTCTGTATTTAGTACAAAACCAGTCCTTCAAATAGTATAACCATTGTATAGAAATATGAGGCCCTTACATCCCCCCCCAAAAAAGCCATATATACTCTTCGTAGATTCAACTTTTTGAAAACCGAGTAAATTAAAATACACCTTTGAAAGCTAATCTGGGTTGTGGTATTTTATGCAGAATGCAAAAGTCATAAGTATACTACTGTTCAACCTCCATTATACATTAATAATGACATATTTCAGCTGTTTCCCCATCTTAGACAATTTAGCAATGCACGGAGATCTGCATTATAACAGTTGGACCATGGAAATCTCAGCTCTCTTATGTATGTGCGCCCAAAGAAAATTAAATACATTTCTGATGCTTCCCGTGCTCTGAACTCAAATATGATGGTGAAAAAACCTTTTTTCTGATTCTCAGAAAACCAGGGAAACAGAAAGTTCGCGGGTTCCCGTGGCCACCACCACCTAAGTGACTCAGAGGGTTTTCCCAGTTTTCCAGAGGATCCAGGAAGGATGTCGTACACCTAAGTCTTCGAGAGGCCTCCAGGCTTCATTCACTCATCTAACGCACCTCACACCAAGACAGCCCCAGAAGGTACAGTGCCTTTCACACACGTGATGACAGATGGACTGCTGCAGGGACAGAGGGAGCCACAGTCTTCTTCATTACCTGTTGCTCCTTGTCTGTCTCCTCACTAGATGTAACGTCCCCGTGGGCGGGGACATTGTTGCCTAAACCCCTGTCTTGGCCCAGAGTGAGGGCCAGTAACACACGTCTGATGAGGGGAAGGATGCAGGAATCATGGAAGGTTTTTCATATCGCCAAGATGAATGGCTTGCTTAGGTCCCTCCTGCCTGAGTCCTTCCCACCTGGGGTCTTCCTGCCTGGGGCCCACCTGGGGCCCTCCCACCTGGGGTCTTCCCACCTGGGTCCTTCCTACCTGGGTTGCTCCTCAGGCGGCTCTCAGCAAGCTCAGAGATGGCTCCAGCTGTCGAAGTCTTTTTCAGTCGAACCACCCCGGAAGCGGCGGTACTTCCTGGTTTGTTGAGCATGTCCTCACTACTGGCCCTCTTGAGCTAAGAGGTAGAGGGAAAGACAGAGGACGAAAACATACATTATCAGTAAGGGGTGCTATAAACCAAGAAAACACTGAGCGGTACCACCTGCCCAGTGGTTAAGATGCAGTAAAGGCACTTGGAGGAGCACGATCGTGTGCAGCGGAAAAATGCAAACCCAGACAAACCTGTGTCTATCGTTTACAGGTCCGAGTATGATCTTCCATTACTGTTTCAAAGAATATTATAAGATTATGAATATTACCCATCATGTCACACTTCAAATAATGAGTTGTTGTTTTTTTTTTTAAACCTGCTTTCCTGTTTTTGTTTTTTAAAGATGGGAGCCGATGAAGAAAGAACTGTGAGATGCACACAAAGCAAGGTAGGGTAATGCACAAAAAATTCAAGGACAACAAAAAACAGCTTAAAAATACGCATCTCAGTTACAGAGATGTATGTGTGTATATATGTATACATACATATATATACAAGCACATATATATGGAGGGAGTAGAAGGAAAAGATAGAAATGATCTGAATTTGTACCATGTGCTCCACACCAGGCACTCTGTATATGGTCTCACACAGACAACATGTTCAGAGGGAAGAGAGGAACCTTCGGGAGGCCAGAAGAACACTGTTAATGGAGGACAGAAAGAAAGCGGAAGAAACCTCTTCCCTGTCCCAAAATCAGCATAACAAACATTTGTTGAAAGGAATTAAAGTCTAAGAGCGGGGAGCCCCTCAATGAGCTCACAGTTCTGGCTCTGGTAAATTACATTCAGGGTTAATGAGAAACACTGCAAATATATTTTCTCAACCATGGTAAGTCTTCTGGAAAGAATATTTCTGAAGAGGCATAGTACTAGAAGGCTGGAGCCAGGCAGATGCCTGGAGCCATCCCAAAAAGATCTGACATCTGGAGAAAGCAGGATGAAAAAGGAAAATGAGGGGTGGGTTGTAATTTGGGCAAAGCCCTGGTTCCGCCCCTGCAAATGCTAGTTTACTTTTTTCCTTTCCTCCCCATTGTTCTTTCATAAAATTTTTTATTGTGATAAAATATGCATAAAAATTGCCATTTTAAGTGTACAATTCGGTGGCATTAAATACATTCCCATGGTTGTGCAACCATCACCACCATCCACCTCCATAAGTCCGAAGTGAGACTCTCTCTACTCATGAAACAGTAACTCCCCGTAGCCCACTTTCTAAAAGGGGGAAGATGGCAAAAGTCTTAATATTAGCCCAGAAATTCTGGTCAACGTCTTTAAACAAATTATTCATTTTAAAAACAAATAGCTAATATCAAAACGATGATTTGCATGCACTTCCAGTCCCTAGAAGTGAGCAGAACTATATTTTCTGGCCAATAGAACAGACCCCTAGTTTAACAACAAGACTAAACAAGGCACTTTGGTCATGGAGAATTCCCTCGAAGTCACTCAACTGCCCTTCCTACAGGGGCCCCATCACTGTTTCTCTACCTCTTGTCTCAGAGTAACAAGGGTCCCTGCACCCAGTTTCTCCAGCCTCTCAAATTATGTCAGGTCACCAGTGAAATATGTGTTTAGTACTAAATGACAATAGTTCATGATGCCAGCAACTTTTTCTCAATAGAAAAACAGAAAAACAAATTTATTCGCTCTGCCTACAAGCATGCCCAGATGCCTCCGTGGGTCCCCAGAGAAAATCAGTTCTGATTTTAGATTTTGAAAATTCCCTGCACAACACGTCAAATGTAAAAGGGAAATCGTTGCAGTTAAGGGAAATTTCTAACGCAGCAATGCAAATGATATGCACTTGGTTCTGCTGACCTCTATCTGATTCTCGGACAGAACTAAAATCAGTAAGTCTGATGCGGAGTGTGGAATAATCAAACTCCACAGCAAAAGGCCGGGAGAGCAAAGGTTCGGTCTGCAAACCAGAATGGGAGGAATCCAACAAATGAGAGTGCAACCCCGGCCCTCCCCCCTCCCCCCACTGAAACTGCCTCCTGCAATCCACCCACAGCTTCCACCCACCTCCAGGCTCCGTCCCCTGGGCGTGGCCCACGGGCGGGCGGGGGGGGGGGGAACTTGCTCCTCCCACTCCCCCGTTTCCCTAAGAGCCCGGTCCTTGGTCCTTGGTGAGATGACAGGCAGAAGTCACAGACGACCGGAGTCAGCAAGCAGTGGGAGACTTAGCCCTTCGTGGTCCCACTCTGTGTTATAAAGAAATGTGATCCTGCCCGTTCCAGGCAGAAGGACACCCCAGATGTGTTATGGGCCAGCAGCAGGCTATCTCCTTCGCGCAGTGTGGGGAGTTTGGGAGGCAGCAAGGCATTTACAGGGGGGCACCTTCCATAAGCAATCCCATCTGAGGACTTATTGCTCAGAAGTTCCCCCAGGAGGCAGCACATACAGACTAAAAGCTGGTCCTTCTTTTCCTCTGCAGCAAACTCCTTCCTCTTTCGCTCTGTTTCGGCGGCGACATCAACGTCAGACACGGAAAGCTACGAGTCTTAGTAATTCTTGGTCTGTCTCTGTTCACGGCTGCGCTTTGCGCTTTGTTTGCGGGTCCCTGAATGCGACTTGGGCACCGCTGGAGGTTTCTGGTTTGTTACAGATGATCACTGGGCAGGTATGCACTTCAGGTGTTACTTTGATATGTTTAATAAGCATTTTCAATAATGCTTTCACTGATATTTAAGCTGCTGAGCACCTGCACATGAAAGCTTACAAAGGGAAAAAGTTTAAATAGCTCACAGATTAATGTAACTAAGAAATTCCTCTGGATTCCACAAAGATGGGGGGAGGGTGGAATCTGAAGCTCTCTAAAATCACACGTAACCTAATCCCATCTTCAAAGGTAGAAACCGGGTTCTGATTGGAGCAGTGGCTGTCGAACTCGGGGGTGCATGAGAATCCTTGGAGGGCTTGTTAACATGCAGACTGCTGCCTGCACCCCAGCCTCCAATCTGCCCCCCACGCCAGCCCCAAGTTTCGGATTCCCACGGTCTGGAGCAAGGCCCGAGAATCTGCATTTCTAACTGGTTCCCAGTTGGTGCTGCTGATGCTGCTGCTGACCTGGGGACCACACTCTGAAAACCAATGGTTTAGCACAGCACTGTCGATGGAAATAGAACGCCAGCCGTGTATGTCTAGTGGCCACATTAACAAAGTGAGAGGGAAGGAAAAATTAATGTTAAGAATATATTTTCTTATGGTGCAGCCACTCTGGACAACAGTATGGAGGTTCCTCAAGAAGTTGAAAATAGAGCTACCGTACGACCCAGCAATTGCACTACTACTGCACTATTTGGTATTTACCCCAAAGATACAAATGTGGTGATCCGAAGGGGTATGTGTACCCCAATGTTTATAGCAGCAATGTCCACAATAGCCAAACTATGGAAAGAGCCAAGATGTCCATCAACAGATGAATGGATAAAGAAGATGTGGTATATATTTACAATGGAATATTATGCAGCCATCAAAAAACCCCGAAATCCTGCCATTTGCAACAACGTGGATGGAACTATTATGCTAAGTGAAATAAGTCAGTCAGAGAAAGACAATTATCATATGATCTCACTGATATGAGGAGTTTGAGAAACAAGACAGACGATCATCGGGGAAGGGAAGGAAAAATGAAACAAGATGAAACCAGAGAAGGAGACAAACCATGAGACTCTTAATCTCAGGAAAGAAACTGAGGGTTGCTGGAGTGGAGGGGGGTGGGAGGGATGGCGTGGCTGGGTGATGGACATTGGGGAGAGTATGTGCTATGGGGAGAGTATGTGCTATGGTGAGTGCTGTGAATTGTGTAAGACTGATGAATCACAAACCTGTACCCCTGAAACAAATAATACATTATGTGGTAATAAAAAAATTTTTAAGTTTTTAAATTAAAATTACAAGAGAAAAATACAAATAGTGATTGTAAATATTAAATTTTCAATAAAACATTTAAATAAAAAATGTATTTTCTTAACCCAACACATTCAAAATATTATCAGTGTAAAATATATTAATGAGGCATTTTACATTTTTTTGGCACTGACTCGTCACAATCGGGTGTCTATTTCACACTTAAGGCACATTTTTTTTTTTGAAGATTTTATTTATTTGTTAACAGAGAGAAAGACAGACAGCAAGAGAGGGAACACAAGCAGGGGGAGTGGGAGAGGGAGAAGCAGGCTTCCCGCCGAGCAGGGAGCCCGACACGGGGCTCGATCGCAGGACCCCAAGATCATGACCTGAGCCGAAGGCAGACGCTCAACAACTGAACCACCCAGGCGCCCTTAAGGCACATATAATTTTGACATTTCAAGGGCTCAACTGCCACCCGTGACCAGTGGCTAGCGTATCAAGCAGCACAGGTAAGGAGTACTCCCGGAGAATGATTACGTAAGACTGGCTGGGTCCCCAAGCCTCATGCAGAACATGCCTAAACTACCCTGCTTTCTGAGGGTGGGGGGCTCTGGCCCCCCTGGCCGCAGGAGATTGGCCAGGGTCAGTGTATGACTCATGCTTAGCCAAGCAGAGACCTTTCCCAGTTTTTTGCTTGTTGTTTGATTTTTTTTTTTTTAAACAAATCAGAAGTAAGCAAAGGCGGTAATTGGAAGTAAGCAAAGCAGCCAGGTCTTCCAAAGGATGTGGGGTGCGCGGGGAGCCTGGCAGCCATGCTTTGTAATACAAGCCGCAGGAGAGCAGACGTCAAGAGGCGAAGGAGCACGGATAAGCGACAGAGAAAGGGTTCTGGCATGTTCTGGTCCCTGGTGCCGGCCTCTCTGAGCTCCAGTCTTGTGCCTCTGTTCTACCCCCAGTGACATGGGAACCTAGGATCTGCTGGATCCACTTCTTTTCTGCTGAAGCTCCTCAAGCCACTGCTTCGCCATTTGCAACGAAGGGGGTCCTGACTCGTAGCCGTGGGCCTTATTAAAGGCCAGAATGAAGTGGCCTGTCCGCATCAGAGCACCCAGGGCTTTCCTTTCCTGCACTGGGCTTGAGCAGCCCACGGAAGACCTACAGCAACATCCTCCGGACCATCTGGGCTCCTCACCCCTCACCGGGTTCTTACACTGCTCCTGCAGCTGGGGCCAGTACTCGAAGTAGGGCATTTCATCTCACTTTGGTGGCTTTGTTTCAGTTTTCCTATTTGTGTCTAGCTCAAATATAGCTATCCATCCCATATGTATCCACTTACTATAAAACAAATATAGTAAAGATGGCAACTGTACCATCCAGGTGGCTGGTGTATGGGTGTCACTGTCATTCAACGTCTCCGTGCGCTTGCCGTTTCCATAGTAAACTATGGAGGGAAACAGATCCTTTACCCGCGGCTAGAGGCGGGAAGGGGAGAATGGTCAAAACGCAGAAACACAACGAGGGCTAGAAAGGCACAGGCTTGGTACGGCTCCTTCTGCTACCCCTTCCCTCAAACGCTTTCTCTTTTATAGAGTGAAGTCCTGGAGACCCCAAGCATCAGAGATGACAACATGGGTATTTGCTTTTCCCCTGACATTTTCCCCGTGGAACAAGTTTCCAAAAATGTTTACCTATCGGGCAGAAGCAGCCACCATTTCATTGTCCTTAGGAAATCCACCCGAGCTTCAGATCTTTTTTATTAAACACTGCTTTAAAAAAAACATTTTGATAGATTCCAGAAGCTCTAATGGTCTGAAGTATATGTATTAATTTAAAATCTATATTAAAAATGTCTCCCTGAGGCGCCCGGGTGGCTCAGTATGTTAAGCGTCTGCCTTCGGCTCAGGTCATGGTCCCAGGGTCCTGGGATCGAGTCCCGCGTCGGGCTCCCTGCTCAGCAGGGAGTCTGCTTCTTTTCCCTCTCCCTCTGCTGCTGCCCCCTGCTTGTGCTCGCTCTCAAATAAATAAATAAAATCTTTAAAAAAAAAAAAAAAAGTCTCCCAAATGTGCTATGGGTCAAAGATAATAAAAATAAAAGCCATGGAAATAATGGGCAATTCCAGGGTAATAGAATGATAAACAAAATTATGTGTAGGACATTTTGTCCACATTTACTCCTCACGGCAAATAAGGTATTATCTTCATCTCAGAACTCAGGACAACTACGTAGCTTGCCTGAGGTTTCACAGCTAGAAAGTGGTCGAGGCAGGATCCCAACTCAGCCTGGTCCGACCCACCCCAAGACCATGCTCCTCCTTGTTCAAGCATTCCATCATACTGCCACTCCCAGAAGAGCCGGTGTCCTTGGGCATTTCATAAATACGGAGTGCCCGCCAGGGAACAGGTGCTTTTCTAAGCGTGAGGGACAGAGCTGTGCAAGAAACAAAAGAGCACACAGCCCCTGCCCTCATGGGGCTCCTGTTCTATTTGTTGCGAGATAGACGCTGCCCAAGCAGGTGTGTGCAATGGGAGTAAGAGCTAAGAAGGAAGATGAAGCAGGGCGAGGAGGGTGTATGCGGGCCCAAGGGGCACTTTCCAGTGAGTGCTCAGGGGTGGTATCTGATAAGGTGACATTTGAGCATAGACTTAAAGAAGAACTGGCAGAGGTGCAGGGCTGGGGGCAGGGGGAGGAATGCTCCAGGCAGAGGAGCGGCAAACAGGCTGCTGCAGGGGTGCATCTAGCTCATGGAGGGGCAGTGCCACTGGGCACCAGGAGAGCATGTGGCTGGAGCCCGGGAGGAGGGAGGTAGAGCAGAGGGCAGGGCAAGGACATGTGAGAGGGAATGGGATCTCCAGGGCATCACTGGCTATATCAAGGACTTTGCTTTTCAGCCCGAGTGAAATGGGGAGCCCCGAGACGCGATGGGACCCAAGTGTTGAAAGGACCACTCTGGCTTCCGCTGAGAACTGACTGTGGGGTGCAAAGACAAAAGCACAGGGATGGTTCAGGTAGGCCGTGCAAGGAAGGTGGTGGCATGAGCCAGGGGGTCCCAAGGGAGGCGGAGGCAGTTGGCTTGACGTCGATTTTGAAGGCAGAAGGGATGGCATTTTGCTGATGGCCTGTGGCATGTGAGGAAAGCAGGGCCCCAGATGCGGAATGGCCTGAACCACCAAGAGGGTGAAGTTGCTCAAAGGGGAAGATTCACGGGGGCGCGGGAGGCGGAGGGGAAGGAGTCTGCTTTGGACATGTTACATTCTAGGTGCCTTTGACTTACTTTTATTCTTTTTAAAGATTTATTTATTAATTTTAGAAAGAGAGAGAGAAAGAGAGAGCAATAGCATGCGTAAAGGAGAGAGAAGCTCAAGCAGATTCTATGCTGAGCAAAGAGCCTGACACGGGACTTGATCTCACGACCCCGAGCTCATGACCTGAGCTGAAACCAAGAGTCGGACTCTTAACTGACCGAGCCACCCAGGCGCCCCTGTAGGTGCCTTTTAGACATCTAAGTGGTGATGTCACAAAAACAGCTGGAGGGCTCCTGGATGGAGATGCAAATTCGTATGTCATCCACATGTACAGTCGACCCTTGAACAGCACAGGGGTTAGGGGTCAAAAATGCAGTCAAAAATCATGTATGACTATTGACTCACCCAAAACTTTATTCATAGCCTACCATTGACCAGAAGGCTTACGGGTAACATAAACAGTCGATTAACACCTAGTTTGTATGTGATCTGTATTACATACTATATTCTTATAGTAAAGTAAGCTAGAGACAAGAAAATGTTAAGAAAATACACTTATAGTACTGTACTGTAGAAAATATGCAGTTCAAACCCATGTTCAAGTGTCAACTGTAGTATTAAAATTCACGAGAACAGACACTAACGCCTAGAACAACTGTTCTCAATGCGGCCAGTGCTGACCCTCACTCAGGGAGCATGTTGGAAATTTGGGGGGAGGGCATGTTTAGTCAGCCCCCTGATTGGAGGTGCTACTTGTATTTAATGGGTGGGAGGATGGGGAACCCAGACATCCTACAACACACGTGGCAATCTTGCACACAACGTTGTCCCATATCCCACAGAACTCTCACATGTTCTGCAGACATTCACAGAGGGGGAGCGCCTTTTTGTCATTATCTGAGCCTTGAGCATCCCTTGGTTTTACATGGAAAAACAACGTACTTCCTACACAGCTGCCCCATCCATGATGCTCCAAGGAGCACCCTAGGTCTGTCAGCAGTCACGCTCAAGCACATGCAGAGGCCGATACAGGTTATTTAATTAAGCACGAATTGTCTCTTCTTTTTCTTTTATAGTTAGGACGTTATATTGATTTTTCAAGAGTACGTGTGTAGGCAGGTTATACGACCTCTGAATCTCATCTCAGGATAGTAAGGGAGGCTTTGGGGGTGACACAGCAGCTAGAAACGAGCTGAGACCCCCCCAAACTGCACCCTGGACCCACCTGACATTAGAAACCCAGAGGATGAGCAGGAGCCAGCAATGGAGACCCCGAGGTGCCGCCAGGGAAGGAGGAGACAACGGAGAGAAGGTACTCCCAGACGGAGGGCGTAATCAATCATGTTAACGCTACTGACGGGCAAGTAAGACGAGATGGAGCATTGACAACTCCATGATCAGGACTGAGGAGATCACTGGTGATCTTGACCCCCATCTGCTAGGGTGCTGGGGCAAAACTCTAACCGGAGAGTCTACGTCATTCAGGGCAGGGGAATCTTAATTTCTCTGTTAAACATGTTGCACATTTCCTTTCTCAGGCCCAGAGCACCCCTGCTCCCCGCCGTTGCTCTGTTCCTTTGGGTCAGGATGGGCTGGTTCTCCTGGGACCCTTCAGGGAGCCTCCTTCCTGACCTTGACAGGCTGCTAGTCTTGCTTACCGCCGCCCGGGGCTCCCGGGGGCGCCCAGCAGCCATGTGCTGGGTGTTTCGGTCTGTACCTTGCTGAGCCGGGACTCAAAAGCCAGCGAGGTGGAAGATTTCGAACTCTTCATGCCTGAAGGGGCCGCAGGGAGGGGCCGTGCACGGTCTGTCCCATGGCTGCCCGCTTTGATGGCCGGATTCCAGGGTTTGGCTGCGCTCCTCATGTTTGTCCTAGTGAGTCTGTCTTTCTGCACAAGACCGAAAAGAGAAATGTGTGTCCACAACTAGAACATGCTGAGCAACATCACAGAGCTCTCCCCCCATCTCCACGTTCCCACGGTTATCACAGAGATCGAAGGTTTCTCTTCAGCCTGCACGGTGAGTATTCCCTGGAGCTGACACCTCCGCGTGAAGGCTACTTTGTACAATTCATGTCGGCTTTTACCAAACTAGTGAAACTTACCTGCGATATAATTGATGCTCTGACATTACTTTTCAGCCAAATGTCGGCTCCTTCTTGTTCAGGGTATTACTGTATTAGTATATGGTATAATACATACCATTATTACGCTCTGCTATTATACTATATGGCCATATGCTAAATACATATCCCCTTAAAACAGGGCAGCTTGAGTCAAGACATTCTGTGTCCATAAGCCTTGCAGCTTCGGGGTTGACAAGGGCACAACCTACCTAATTTTCAAATGGATCTAAATGAATTACTTGAAAATTGGATTTCACAGAAGCATAGCTTTTTCCTTCTTTCAAGTAAAAATGGGTATCATTTAAAAATGAATGGAGCATATTTTAATTGGCTGGACCTGACATTGTATGGCAGAGTTAACCACCCCCCCACCCCGCCCCAACTAAACTGTTTTATGAAAGAAATCTGTGCTAAGGAGCAAGCTGCAGTTAAAGGCCGGAGGGGAGAGCCTGCAGACAGAGGTGTGGAAGGCAGCCTGAGGCTTGCCATCAGCAGTCAGGGTTCTCATTCCTGAGTGAGGAGTGGCCTGCCCTCTCCGGACCTCTCCCAGCCTGTTTTCTTCTATCAGTAGCACAACAACACAGGAGTAAATGCTCTCTAGGGGCTCATTCAGCTCCAGCCCTGCCCCTGCCATTGTGTATTCCAATGACCAAGGGTGTGGCACAGAATACTAAAACCCCAGGTAATGCCGCATCCCTTCAAAGAAACAAACCAGAAAAATGCACTTTAAAAAAACACCAGTAGGTGACAGACAGCTAATTCCAGGGGCCACGCTCATAGAACCTGGAGGTCTAATGAACTGTCCCCGAGGGAGGGATCCTAGCTGGTGCCAAGCGGCTCTGGGCCCCCTCTCCAGAGCCTCCCCACGTCCGGGTAGATGGCACCAGCCACCTATCGGAAAAACAATAGGCCGCCTCCTCAGCCTAGCTCGGGCTGTGACGTCTTCTGTTCCTGGCTGGAAGACACCAATCCCGACTGACGGTGCTTCTCAGCCAGGACCAGCCAGCTCCTATTCCTGCTTCCAGTGATTCACTGGCGGTGACACCTGTCCAAGAATCCACCTGCAGCTATGGGAACGTGGCTACAGGTGAAGATACGTATGTGAAGACTTTGCCGTGTGTTCTCGCCAGTGTTTCTGAGAAAATATCTCCATGATGTCAGTTCTATGATTTAGCGCTGAACCTGATTAGCTTCAGCTTGGTGCCGGATATCGTGATGACTTTTTTTTTTTTAAGATTTTATTTTATTTATTTGACAGAGAGAGACACAGCGAGAGAGGGAACAGAAGCAGGGGGAGTGGGGGAGGGAGAAGCAGGCTTCCTGCGGAGCAGGGAGCCCGATGCGGGGCTCGATCCCAGGACCCTGGGATCATGACCCGAGCCGAAGGCAGACGCTTAACGACTGAGCCACCCAGGTGCCCCGATGATTTTTTTTTTTTTAATTCTGTGGTACTTCTTGTGTATTTTACTGAGGTTTAGCACCAATTATTTTTCTTTTCTTTCTTGACCTGCGATGCTTAATGCTGGTTTCCATGGCAACAACGAGAGCATTCCTAGATTGGCAACTACACAGTAACTCATCTTATTGGGACTCCTAACAGAAATGAGCCGACATGGCCTGAGTAATTCTTGAAGAGCATGACTGATTACTTTTACCAGTTACTACAGAATCAGCCTGGAACACGTCAGTCTGTCTTTATGAAGATGACTCAAATAAAATATGTTTAATCAAGGCATCCCTATACGTTATGATTATAACTGGTTCGAAATGACTATTACAGGGCTTACTTTATGAAAACATAAGGTGATTCTGCCCAAGACCAAGGTGATTCTTGGTCAAAACTCAAGATCTACACTCCTCTCTTAATCTCTGGCAACAAATCTGGCCAACAAATCTTCTGGGCAGTGCACCTGGAAAATGTTCAGCCCTTTTTCAAAGACTGATGAGTTACTTGCTCTGAGGCAAAATTCTCAGGGTTACTTCACTTGCATCATTCCTCCTTTCTTTTTTTTTTTATTCCTCCTTTCTTTATTCCTCCTAGAAACTTCTGAACCCAATCAAATTATTACCAGAGAGCGTGCCTCATCTGGACCACTCCTGTTTGCCATGCTACCCTGTCTTGGCTCCCTCCACTCTTCTTTTCCCATCACTTTTCCCAGACCAAGCCTTCTATTTTGGACCCATCACCCAGCCAGATTCTTCCCTTCAAATGCCACCTTCTTTCCAAATTTGAAATACACAGAAGTGAGATAATTAATGTCCCACTTGTGTGCACCCAGAAGAGAACCCTATAGGTAGGGATGGGACTCCTGGAGCAGTATCGGGCTCCGCAGGATCAGAGCAGCTTCCCAGGGGTGGGTAAAAGGGTGAGAGCTGGTGTGTGAGGAAAACACTCCAGTCAGACCCAACGCTAGCTTTGCGCCCTGCTCTCCCTTCTCATGGCTTAGGACATTACTAAACTTCGCCCCAGCCCTCACCTCCAGCCTGGGCCAGTGTCTTCCCAGTGTTCTCCAAGTTGTCTGGAGACTGACTCTTTTCCCTTGCTCTGCCCATACCCGGCTCTGGGCTCTTCTGGAACAGCCCGGAAAGGTTTACGCTCAGAGCTGTCCATCGGCAGTGCTTGGCTGGCTTTGGCCCAGCCCTCTACCCACTTCCAGGAAGGCCTCCTGCCGGAAGGGGAACTGGTGCCCATAGGCTCCACTCCCAGATTGCTGCAGACTTTCATGCACCCCACTTCTGACACAGGGAACCAGATCATTACAGTGTGTGAGAGCAACTACGCTATGCTCCTCTGAGCCTGGCAAGGCCCTGCTAAGAGCTCCTCATGGGCAAATCCTCACCATAACCCTAGAAGGTAAGTAAGTATCACCTCCACTTTACTGATGGGGAAACTTTGGCTCAGGAGGGTTAAGCGACTTGCCCAAATCACAGGGTTTATGATGGAGCCAGGATTCAAGCCCAGCTGTCATTGGCCCTTACACACCAGGGATGGATAAGGCCTCTGTGAATTGTCTTTGCTCCCCTGGGAGAGCAGGAAGGCTTTTGGATCCAACGCTCCTGCTCCAAACGCAGCATCACTGTTTGCTGTGTGAACTCGGGCATGCTTTTCCAACATCATGATTCTCAACATCTTCACCCAATAAAGTGGAGTTATTAGTGCGGATGGAAAGAAAACATGGATACCGAGGGCCAGGCACATAAAAGGCACTCAACCAATATTAGCTGCCTTTCCTACAAACACTGTCCTTTGTGTTCACTGGAGGGCTGCTCTGCTTCATAATCTCAACAATACACAGCAACGGACCCATTAGACCAATTTCAGTGGCAGGAGCCAGACATACCCGATTGAAGGAAAGGGCTCCTTCTGTAAACAGAGCAGCGTATTTTCTTGCGGAAACATGAAAGAGGGTGAGTAGAGAGGAAAATAAACACTGAGAGCCGACACATTCCCATCCTGAGAATTGGCCCCAACCTTAATACAGCCTAGCCACTGAGGACACAGGTGTGAATACTGGGTGAATAATAATTTCCTTATGGATGTGAGTTAGTAACAGAAAATAAATAGACGGGCTCTGGCCAAGTACAAGAAATTAAAAAAAAAAAAGATTTGTATTGTTAATTCCTTGATTTCTGCAAATCCTCCTAAACCATCTCAAAGGATCAAGCTGATCAAGGAATTACAACCAGATCTAGGAAACCACCCCCCCCACGGGAGGGAAGAGGGCCTTCCCAGGGGTATCTTTTTAAAATTTTCCAAACATTTTTTTTTTATTTCTTAAGTTTTTTTATTGAGGTATATTTGACACAGTGTTACATTAGTTTCAGGTGTACAGCAGAGTGATTTGACAACTCCATACACTTATGCAAGTGTAGCTACCATCTGTTTCATTAAATTACCATTATCAAAATTATTATTAAACATTATCAAAATACCACTGACTATATTCTTTTTTTTATTTTATATTATGTTAATCACCATACATTACATCATTAGTTTTTGATGTGGTGTTCCATGATTCATTGTTTGCGTATAACACCCAGTGCTCCATGCAGAACGTGCCCTACCCAATACCCATCACCAGGCCAACCCATCCTCCCACCCCTCTCCCCTCTAGAACCCTCAGTTTGTTTTTCAGAGTCCATCGTCTCTCATGGTTCGTCTCCCCCTCCGATTTCCCCCCCTTCATTCTTCCCCTCCTGCTATCTTCTTTTTTTTTTTTTAACATATATTGTATTATTTGTTTCAGAGGTACAGACCTGTAATTCAACAGTCTTGCACAATTCACAGCGCTCACCATAGCACATACCCTCCCCAATGTCTATCACCCAGCCACCCCATCCCTCCCACCCCCCACCACTCCAGCAACCCTTGTTTGTTTCCTGAGATTAAGAATTCCTTTATCAGTGAGGTCATATGATACATGTCTTTCTCTGATTGACTTATTTCACTCAGCATAACACCCTCCAGTTCCATCCACATCGTTGCAAATGTCAAGATATATTCAGAGCACTAAATGAGAAAAATATGCAGCCATAGAAGGAGCGATAAAAAGCTTCCAGGACAAACAAAAACTAAAGGAATTTGCAAACACAAAACCAGCCCAACAAGAAATATTGAAAGGGGTCCTCTAGGCAAAGAGAGAGCCTAAAAGCAACATAGACCAGAAAGGAACACAGACAATATACAGTAACAGTCACCTTACAGGCAATACAATGGCACTAAATTC